GCACACAGGCAAACTTAGGCTACTTATACGCACGCTGTGATACAATTACATTGTAATTTCAACTAAAATACATTGGAATTCAGTTTAATTACAGGAGAATTACGCTGTTAAAATAAACACACACACACAAAATCCTACTGGGAAAAATATCCAGGACCATGGCACAGCAGGGTGAAAAACTACAGAAAATACTAACATAAATGGTCTTATTGAGGTGATAGAGCAACTTTGTACTTAGGCACAGATTCTCCAGGTTTCTGGAACTGTTTTGGAGGATGAAGCATCATCGTTCCAACACATTTTCCTTCAGTGGTGTCTTCATGATGGCGGTGGAGAATGTTATTTAATGTTTAATACAACTAAATTCTCCTATAGATGTTCAGTTGAATTGAGATCAGGTGACTGCAAAGGCAATTTCACACGATCATTAATTTCATATTCATCCAACTGTACAGTGACCCCTTTGTGCCTGCTGCAATATCTTTGTATTGATTTGCTGTGACCCTTCCTTCCAAATGAACTGAAAATTCTCTCAGCGAATAGAGCCACTGAATCCCTTTTTCCTTTAATATTTACTCATCTGCATGAATTAGCAGTGTTTTACTTCCTTAAAACCTAATTACAATACTATACTAAAATGCACTAATTGACATTTTAACCACTGTGTTCTACTGTACTGCATTTGTTGACTATTAAACTGTTTTTGATGTTTTTAAAAAACAAAGAACAAAGGTGATTCTTTTGCCGCTCTGTCACTGCTGCATTATTAAACCACAGTGAGAAATATCAGTGTTGTCATGTATGAAGATAAAGGAAATGCGACGGAATGAAGAGCGATAACAAAATGTTCGCTCACTTCAGGGAATCTTTGGGGGAAAAGGAGAGAAGGTAGCACACAGAGAGGCTTGATGAACCCGTTCACCTCTTTAACTGTCAGTAATGACTGTTCACAGTCTTTACCCATGCAAGAAAACTACATGAGGAGAAGTATCCAAGATGGTTTTTTTTAATTATTTGGTTTAACATTAAGCTAAGTTGGCCTCAGTGCACACATTTAACCACCTCCTCTGTAAATGCTCACTGTTACTTTACTGCTTACAGTTTAATGACTTTTTAGCAAAGAAGTCTTTCAAATAAAAAGTTCCCCTCCTGGTTTTTGTCTCCTTGCAAGTGAAACGTGACTTAAAGCATACAAAATAAGAGTGAATGAGAGTGAGCTTACCGAATCAGTGGAGACAGAGTTCTTCAGAGTGCATTTAGTTATTTATTTCACACACAATTCATAATTTCCATTGGGTAAAAAGGAGATTTTTGAACACTGGATAGGTGGTGAGAGAGAAGATGAGAGAAGGAGGGAGTGGTGGTTACTGGTTTTAGTGAACACTACTTCCTTATGCTGCACAGACTGGCTTCCCTTATTCTGCTGCATGATGGGGCAGAGAGACTCTCCACATTTTCTTGACAGGTTGCCAGATTCACATCAGCCTCACCAGGCTGTCTGGCAGTGAACGGTGCTGGTCTCATGCTGGGAACAACTTCATGGGAAGCAAAGAGAACTGCAGCATTGGGAAGTAATACATGTGAAGCTTGCATCATATTTTAGCTGACAGCCTTGTGGAATAAAGTGAAATTAAAAATCTTTGTGTGTTATATAACTCAAAGCATGCAATCCATCCTTCCATCCATGAAATAATGAAGAAGGAGGAATACTTCCATATTCTTTAATTTCACCTCAAATCGACAGCTAGATAGTTGACACTTAGACACAGCTGGATGCTTCAACAGGACGATGATCCCAAACCCAGATCAAAATCGGTTCAGGAATAGATAAAGTAGGCTAGCATTAAACTTCTGGAATGGCACAACCAATGCCCCCAACTGAACCCTATTGAAATGAGGAGATTATGGTTAAAAGCTGGGTCTGTGCAAGGAAACTAACTGAGAAGAGTCATTAAATATTCACCTAAGATTAATGCCAGAAGCCCGCGGATGGCTACCAAAAGTGTCTGGTCGAGGTGCCACTTGGTAAGGGACTCTTAATTAAATATTAGTGGAGGTGTAAATGTGAGCCTGGCCTGCCAACAAAGGAAGAGACGAGGAGGAAAGTGTGTCAGGAGGCATCAAGAGAGAAGGAAACGCAGTAATAGTAGAGCCTCTAAATGTAGGGACGATGCCTGGTAAAGGGAGGCAGTTGGGTGATGTGATTCAGGTTAAAATGTGTTTTAAATCTGCACCACTGCTTTTTGTCATGAAATTACCTCCCACCTACACCCTCATCTTTTTTCTACTGCAGAAACAAAAGTCGGATTTAGGCTTTTAATGAAAAGTCCTTCTGTTAATAATAAAACAACTACATTATTATTACTGGTATTTTTGTTTTTAGGGGTACTGTGATGAAATGTAGGAGCCCAAAAATGGTCTAAACTCACTTATGAGAACAACACAGACTACATGTGTGTGACAGAGATGGAGACAGATGCAAGAGGAAAGCATCAAGGAACAGAATGAGTGAGGATGGATGAAATTCATGGGATCAACCATCCACAGCAATGGACAGTGGACAAGAGAGGTGAAGATGAGACTGCAGGCAGGGTGGAGTGGGTGGAGATGTCAGAGGTTATTTGTGACAGAAAGATAGTAGCAAGAATAAAAGGAAATGTTTACAAGATGGTAGTGAGACTTGTGATGTGTGGTTTGGAGATGACAAAAATACAGGAGACTAGAGCTGGAGGAAAAGTTGAAGATGTTAAGATATTCACTGAGAGTGACCAGGTGATTAGGAATGAGTGGGACAGCTCAGGACACAAGGTTAGAGAGCCGAGATGTAGGTAGCTTGGACGTGTACAGAGGAAGGACAATATGGAGCACCAGGCAGAAGGGAAAGACAAAGACCACAAGAACATCAGAAGATCCATGAATCTTCTCTGATCCACATATCTCCAGAAAACATTCATGGACATAGTTAATGAGGACGTGCAGACTGTTCGTGTGAAAGAACAAGAAAGATAGGGTGAGATTCAGGCAAATGATCGACCTTTGGCGACCCCTAGAGGGAGCGGCTGGAAGAAAAAGAAGCTTTTTAAATATCTGAATTTTCATTTATGTTTTTAAGTGCAATTTTTAATTTTTGTATACTTTAAAAAATCCATTAAACAATTCTTCTATCATTGCTGTGCAGATTCTATAAAATTTTTAGACTATACCAGGGGCGATTCTAGGATCAGAGCTTTGGGCTGCCCAGCCAGGCAAGATAAACTTTACTCTTCACAATGAGACGTCTTCCCTGTCTCTGTCAGTTCCTGCATCCTTAAATGTCTCCAGTTGTCCCAGTTACCTCTGACTGTCTCCTTGGTGTATTTAAACCCCTGTTCCTCCCTGTCCTCATCGTCTGTTGTCTTCATCTCCATTATCAGTCATCATAATTTTACCATCTCTGTGCAAGTCTGCAAATTTCTTTATTAAATCATAAGATTCTTAAATTCATCAAGTCTCTCTGTGCCTGGGTCCTCGTCACAAAACATGACATCACTGTTTTGTACATTTTAACACAATTTAATCCCCACATTTGTGAAAGAAAAGCAAAACACTTTTTTGAAAAGTCTGTAACAAAACCATCAAATCTGATAAAGGTTATTTAAATGCTGCAAAAGAAGAATGGATTGGAATAAAAAAATACATATCCTAACCTTAATTACTGGGGAGAATAATGAATGATGCTCATAGTGAGTAAGAAGTAAACTGAGTGCATTTTTTGGACAGAGATTCACTTTGAATGTGTATTGTATAATACAATACACTCAATACACAAAAATACAAAAATACACTCCAAAAATAGAGTCCTTGAAATGTACAAATGTACAAAATATTGATAAAAAAATGATAAAAATGGAGGCAACTTTGCCTATGGTACAATGTATGAAAAGATCTTTACTGCAGATACTACTACTGGCTCTGCAGATTTTTTCTTTTATTTTAACCTATGTCGCTCACCTTGAGTTGGCAAATCTGTCTTCACTTTTTGGTGGTCAACTCTCTCAAGCAGTTTAACAGTTTCTGTTGTGCCTGTCACTGTTCCCTGTCTGTTTTCTTACCTGGTTCTTCCTGACCTTGTACTTTCTCCTCACGTTCCCCTCTTTCCTCTCTCCCTCTTTGGACTGACAATCATACACAAATAGATTGTATTCAATTAGATGAAAAATTACATTAATATGAAAAAAAATATTATTAAGATCACTAATAAAAAAGTCCTCTCTCAGTGTACTTTCAACCAAAAGGCAAATAACCAAACCACATGTACATCTAATAAAAGATATAAATATTGAAACACTGATCCAACATTATTCTTATTGACGGATCATTTGTTCTTTCATTTTTACCTGAATGTTGTTCCTGGGTTTAATATCGGCACATATGACAAAATAAGCAGCTTCTCTCATTCCATTTCAAACAGGACAGTGGCAACAACAGTAGGCTAAAACAATTTTAAGTTTTAGATTTTAAATAGGCTTATAAATTTCAATCGGAGCAAAAAAGAAACATGGTCTGACTCCTACCTAACCTAACTATATAAAGAGTAACTGAAGGTTAAATGCAGCTAATATGTCCTGTTTTAAGCCAGGCACTAACACCTCCTCCGCTGCTCTCAGCCACCATCGCTCTGGCAGCAAAGCTAGAGCCAGAGTAGGGGAGAGCGAGCTGGAACAAACCATTTTGGGAGGGGGGTTATCTATACTTTTGTTGTTAAAATGTTACGTCTCAACCAAGTACTGTATGCTTTTTATATTTTTATAAGTGTGTCACACAAACAGCAAATATTGTCAAAAAAGTAAGAAATCTTTGGGGGTGCTTTGATTTATTTTGCTGAAGCACCCCCAAAAATGGGCTAAAATCGCCCCTGGACTATACCCTTTTATTCATCTCACCTTGTCTGCAGCGATGCACAATTTGGCCGCTAGGTGGGAGTAACGTCACAGCTTTGACAAACGATACCTTCTGAATAAAAAAGGAGAAAAAAAAAGGAAGGAAGCAGCAGCAGCAAAGCGCCAGCACTGACCTCACGTGAACTTAAAATGTCGTTTACAACTTCACAGGCAGTTCAGAAGTAAAGAGAGAGGTAGTAGCCGTTTCCCTTCAGCTCGGGTCAGTCAGCGGAAACAAGGAAGTGAGCAGCTGACTGACTTCCAGTTCTCTGCTGCCGCTGGTAAGACTTGTTCACTTTAACGCTTTGTATTGTCTCGTCGCGGCGGAGCCGTGTGTTCGGAGAAAGTGTGGGTGTGTGTTTTCTTTTTGTTTGCTGGACTTTGTAGAAATGAAGAAAAGCAGCGCAGCTTTTTGTACCCGGCGTGTACGTGTGCGTGAGGGGTGCTGAGTGGTGGGCAGGCTGACGCACTGATTTGCGCGTGTATTTCGTTTCTCTTTGGAGCCACGTTCCCATTTTTAAACCTCCAAAAGCCTCATTCATTGTTTTTGGAGCGAAAGCGGAGGGAGACCTGTAGTGTTTGTCCCTGTTGAGGTGTGTAAAACATTTAGAGAACGAGGGGTTTGCTATTGTGCAAAAGCCATAGTATCAGAACTCATCTGAACCATTTCCTGAACATGAATTCAATGTAAAACACACTGCAAAGAGACTAGGAACACGTGTGTGTGTGTGTGTGTGTGTGTGTGTGTGTGTGTGTGGCTTCTAACAAGGCGAATACTTGTGTCCAATGAATACGGAAATCGGGTTTTTTTTTGTTATTCTAAACACAAAAAATTGCGTGTCTTTATTTTTGTTTACTTATTTATTTATTATTCAATTTATTGTCGAACTATTTTGGTTCAGAAGTTGAAAAAACGAGTCAGCTGTAAACAAAGATCACAACTATTATCAGTCTGGTCCTCCGTTTGAGCATTTGGAGCACATCCTCTTGTGAAACTCTTGTGAAAAAAGGAATTAAAAAAAGAAAAACGATCTACACAAAACCCTAATTAAACGCTACCTGGTTCACAACAAACTATTGTTCTAACTGACGGTGTTCAACAGATCCGCATTTTTTTTTTTACATCGCTATAAAAGGATCTATTGACTCCAGACTTACCTGGAACAGTAATCAGTTGTATTTGTCTTGGCTTTGGCCTGGTAAGTGTTACAGGGATTGGTAACGTGGATAGACAGGTTGTTTTAAAAACATTTCATTAGGCTGTTTTATATTCTTTCATCTTAAGTGAAGAAAATGGCCTAATGAAATGTTTTTAAAACAGCCTGTCTATCCACGTTACCAATCCCTGTAACACTTACCAGGCCAAAGCCAAGACAAAAACAACTTAAGAAATGTTGGCCACTCTTTATGTATTTTCAGACAGAACCAAATCATCACATGCTATAACTTGTCTGGTTTTGTAATAATAAAACAAAGCTTTTGTTGAACTCAAATTAAAGTCAACACTGTATCAAGACAGTTGGGTCAGGTCACGATTACAAAAACAGTCCTGCTGTACTTACCAACTGTATATCATATATTAAAAGACTTTGAACATTTAAAACTGTCTGAGAGCTGAGCTCTTGTTGGGATGCATTCTCTTCTTGCTAACTGAGATGAGTTGGAGTTGATGAGCATAAAATCTGAACATCATCTTTGAACACAAAGGTTTTGTTATTTGCATCTCCTCATGTAGAGAGAGGTTTATTTCAAATCACACATTTCTATAGTAAATAGTTGAAAAACATGAACTTTTAATTGTTTGTCTAATACTTTGGCATTGTATATGTGACCATAGGTGAGCTCTTTATCAGTAGAAAGAGCTGTAAAAGTAATAAAAATACAGTGAAAAGTCCAAAATGTCTGCCCTCCTGCACATTTTCCAAAGCCAGCCAGTTTTAGCTGTGCTGCCTCTGGCCCCGGGCCTTATGTTTGACACCCCTGCTCAACCGCGTTCAGTGTAAGGTAGCCACACAGTTCTTTACTCACTCTTTAGGATTCCTCTGTCCTCTCACCCCTAAAGCCATTTTCAGAGCTTTTTCCTTTATGAGAAGTAAACCAGTAAAGCTGCGTAATAGTGGAAAAATCAGGTTGTGTATCTTTCAACCTAACATAAATGAACCTATTAGTTTACAGAGGTCGTGTGTCCTGCAGTAACACTCTGATAAGTGTATGTAAGTAGTGGACCTTTATACTGGCAAGCCTTTTATGGGCTCTTTTTTTCCCCCCAGTGAAGGCAATTTGTATTTGCATGCAAAGCTAATTGTGTGCTCAGTGCATAATAAATGTATAATCTTGTAGTGGCCGCTGTACCTGCTGTTCCACTGGCTGTGTCATAAAAACGTCACACGCATGTTATCTAGCTCTCCACGGTGATATATTTCAGGGCTGATGTTCACCTGTGCTTCAACAGGAGGCTTTATTGAATATAATAATTAACAGCTTTGTTAATGATTTAGTTGTTAACAATTTTTGGAGAACAATAACTTTTTCTTTGGACCATCTCAAAAATTATGCTTCAGTGACTCAGTAGTTTTTTGTGTTTAATAAAAGGGAGCCAATAACTATTCAATCAGTCCATGGAAAACAAATAGTCCAGCCGCACATTACGTCTCTGTATTTCTCATTTGATAGCTAATCACAGAATTGCTGATGGCTAAATTGAACTAATGACTGACTCCTCCCCGTCATTATGGCGACACCGGCGAACTGTGGCAGATTGTCTCAAAGGTTAAAAGCCTTTTATTGGAGCCCTGTTGCTGATCTCCGGTGCTGCTGTGATGAGATGACTAATCCCCCCCGGACAAGGAGCTGCAGGTGACAGCTGGGAATGTTATAATTTAGCTGCCTAATTTATTTATGAGCAAGCAAGGTTTTTATTTTTCCAGGGGAACAAAAGAACCGGCAGACTGGAGAGGATGCTGTAGTCATTTTTGTGTGTGGTGCTTTTGTTTATGTCTGTTTGTTCTGCTTTATAGAGAAACATTAACTAATGTGACTTCAGTGGAGCTTCGGTGGTACTGACAGATACAAGATTTCTATTTAGTTTAACAACAGAGAGTGATGCTCTAAAGTTCAATAAATAAATGAAATACTCTCACTTGCCACTGTATTAGGTACACCTTGCTTGTATTGGGCTTGCGCCTTCAGAACTGGCCGACTCCATAATAGCATAGATTCAACAGAGATTTTGTTCCATATTGTCATGATGGTATCACACAGTTGATACAGATTTATCATCTGCACATCCAGTTTCCCTTTCCTCCGCATCTGCATCCTGCTATATTGGATTGAGATCTGGTAACTCTTGCAGTTAAAGCATACACTTATTGGATGGTCTTTATCCCACAGCAAGATGTTATTTCTCAAATAATCCCAGCAAAATGCTTCAAAAGGCAAGCTCCAATACCCAGATCAGATGGAGAAGTTTGTTTGCTTGTGTGAATGGGTGTGATTGGATGTGGCATGTTGTATAGAGTGCTTAGGGTACTCTGGTAGAGTAGAAAAGTGCTATATAAGAATCAGTCCATTTAACATTTACCAAAAACTCTCCAGAGTCTGAGGTTCCTTTCCTCAGGGTAGCTCAGTGTCCCTGCCACAATATGAAGTTAAGTTTGAAGTTAAATAAATGTTCTACTCTATTTTTAAATATTCAGGATTTATGTAATTTATATTTAACACACCCACTCATCTCACTCAAGTCTTATTTTGTTGCCTGTTAACCATTTATTAAATCTAGACATGGGTGGTAAGCAGCGGCATTGCTTACTACCCATGTGTAAGCACTGTGGATACCTCATGAATGCCAATCCAATCTTCAGTGTGCACTATACCTCGAAATATTGTAATGGCAGTGGTGCTAAGAAAGCTGATAGCAAATGCACGCGCTGCTCTCACTGAGCCTTTGCTCAGGCCCTGCCCAGTTATTTATATTAGAATAACTCTAGAATCTGGAATGCTAATTAAAACTTGCACTGCTGTGAAGTGTTTGCATTCAGGTGTTTCTGGCCGTCACGCTATATTTCGCTCTGTTCTTTAACTCTGTCTTACTGGTGGCGTGCTAAAGGTCATGACCTTGGTGTAACAAAGACTGAATGACCTCAGGGTCACTGTCGGTTACTCACAGCAGTTATAGATGTTTATTTACAGTTTATATCTGTTAGAATTCTTTGACCCTCTGGCCAGCAAGAAGGGCTTCCACTTGCTTTACTGCGACCTGTCATCGCCTCAGAGGTCAGTAATGATAAGTTATCTTTGGGCAGTGGCTGGCCTCCCAACTCCCTGCCTTGACTCCTCCCCTTTTAGTTTGTGTATTGCAGAAGAGGACACGGTTATTTCTGGGTACCAAGGTTAGCCAGGGTCACGTGTGGGATTCAGCTTACGTCCGTCCTGGCTAAAAGTCCAGGACACTGGAGGGACGCGTCTGCTCTTCAGCAGCCAAAGCATTTAACTGTGCCACTAAAATAATCTGCTCCGCATGTGAGTGGAAGTGACTTTAAATAAGCTCTTAGAGTCATTCAAAGACTGTGGGGCGCGTGCAGTTGGCTTATGTGCCATCACTGAGAGCTGATATGATCTGCCTCGTCTGTTCCCGACAACTTTTCCCCTGGAATCAGCGGTTTGGTACGGGTGGATGGGTCAGCATGGCAGTGGTGTTTATACCGATGAGAGATCTGGATCTGGGTTTGTGTTCTGTTTGTGGACATATAATAATCTCATACATTAGCAAGCTTCTACTTTAAGCTTGGCTTCATTTCACGTATGGCTCATGGGTTTTGGCTCAGCTAAGAGGGTGTGACACATCAGCTTTGCGTACTTATTGTGTGGTCTCGGGTAACATAACAGATAAGCTGTGGCCCTACAGATGCTTATTATATCAAAATGCTTAGGCTGCAAGTCTGAACAGTTAAGCAACTGGTTTCACTATAGTTAGGCCACTTTCTTCTCACCTGAGCCACAGGTGCAGGGACTGTATCCTCACTGTCTGTCTGACTTAATTCACAAAGGTATAATGACCAAGTATATGTATATGAAAGTCGTAAACAGAAGTTTCAAAGCGAGCACTTTCATTCTGCGTCTTTTATTCTGATAAATCAGCTTTTTTTTTCTTAAATAAACTGTCAAGTCAACTGTAATAAACTCCTTTTTTCCTGCAATAATAAATGTAGAAAAAGTAGTGTGTGTGACCTTTTTGGTGTCCGTTTGCACTTCCCAGTTTTTATGGGTGTTACTTGTACATATT